TCGAATAAACAACCGTTAATGCCTCTGTTGTAGCGACATTTGGGTTGTTACAGTCCGCTGAAAGGACACAAGTCTCAGACTCAGAGATGATCAGCATAGAAAAGCCGTCTTAGAATGATGTACCACTCGTAGAGTCGTATGTGAGACGGAAACCTCAGCTGTGTACACAACACCACTAAATGCTCCCTCTGAAGTAGAATCATACACTACAGCATCAGTGATAGTGCCAGTCCTCAGCTCTCTGAGGAAATTACACAGCATCATGCGTGGAAAACCACTTCGTACTGGCAAACGAGAACGCATCAGCCGGCACAGCTGTCTCAGCATCAGCATCTTCACAGATAAAGAATCCTGTGTTCGCAGAGCCATGAGTCACAGCACCAGCAATGACTTCATTGCTGTCAACGGCATCAAACGTCAGCAGCACGTATTGAGCCAGAGTCAGCCGGGAAACAGTCACAAGATTTGCCTCCAGCTTGAATCGGCTCACAGCAATTGAACCGCTTAAATGGAACCGAGTCTCCACGCCATCATAATCAACCAAAACAGACACCGAGAAGTTGGGCTGGCCTGGTGCTTCCTTATAGTATGAACAGTCCAGCTCAAGTGAAGGCGGCCCACCCCGTGCCTAAGATCAACCACCGTACTGGTTCATCCAGCAGCTGTAGATTCCGTCTGTTGTGGGCTGTGAACAGCTCTGTTTCCCTTAATTACGCCTGCGCGTGTGTTTACATTCGTAGTAATACGCTTGTTTGTTTGCGTTTCTGTCGCTGTGGGCCTGCAAGCCTGCAAGCCCGTCCGGGGAGCGTCACCAGAGCAACAGTGGCCTTTACAAGTTCTTCTCTCCACCAATCGTGGCCATTCACCAGTGCTGAGGTGGAGCCTTAAGCACAGAATGTGAGCTTACAGCTGAGGCGTTTGTAGGTGCTCTTATCGTATGTACTGCCTTCCGGCTTGTTGGAGGATGCTCTGTGTCACTGGAGAGGTGGTTGATCGTGTTGTGGTGATGGAGCCGAACTGTGCGTAATATAGTACAATGTGCTCTGTCCCGGACACAGCTACGTCACGATCGTGGTCAAGGCTGCCATGATAGCTCACGTCCTTCTGGTTCCAGAGTCAGAGGCTGGCCCCAGTTTCACACCACCACTTACTTAACCTATCACTGTTAGAGTGCTCAGTGCCTGGGCTTAGATGGTCTAATATGTCCGAAGTTTTGGAGCATGCCATTCTACAGATGTGTTCTTCACCTGTGTGAGGATCAACATGGACAAGTGTATGTATATGTATGATGGAGTTTCAGTATCAGTGTATGCCATTGCTCACCCTCCAGACTGCTCTTTGCCAGTGCAATGTCGTGGCGGAAAGATGTGTAGCCAGTTGACAGGTTTGCGTTGATGGGCTTTAAACGTGTTTTAGTTCGTACGGTTCCTCTTTATTGGGTTGAGCATGTGCCTCAGGACAGCAGCAGTGGCTCTATATGGGTTAGTTGAGAGGGTCCTATAAGCCTCTTGCTGCTTATTCAAAAGGACTCTCCAAGGCACATGTATTGCCCAAGGATGTAGGAAGACTTTTAGTACCGAGATTATACAATTCCATTCTTACAGAGCAAAACACAGACCAAAACATGGGACCTGAGTCGTTACACTCAAGCACTTGCACCTTGTTTTGTCAGCTGATACTTAAATCGAGTTGTAATCTTCATAGTCTTCAAGATGAACACGTTTGGAGGTAGTTATCTCATTATAAGATTAATATCGGGTCCTTCACAGAAGTGCATACTCGCATTAATAGCTTGGTTCATCCTAAACAGATATCGTATTATCGTCCAAATGCTGATTCATCAAGTACATAACCATCAAATACTCTGCTGTGGTGGTGCATTTCAACCAGGGACCTGTAATTGCACCAATTGCAAAAAAGAAGGACCACCCTAACCTACAGAGTACAACGTATGCTCCTTTACACTCAAAACTTTCTCAGTGGAACTCAACACGCCAATATGCCCTTCACAATAACATATTTTTGAGCAAAAGTGGACATATTCAGCAGAAGATCTGGTCTGCATTCGATTATTCTGTAAACTTCGATGGAAAACCACCAGAGTCAACGAGGTGGGTGAGTTTACTCTGTAAGTTGGAGATACATACAGATGTGTATATCATTTCTATTTATTTGTCCTATTAAGGATAATTTAAGAAGTAGACTAGACGGTTCACGACTATTAAACACACTTTCATGGCCCTTATTCAAGTGCATATAAGTGATGCATTGGTTGATAATCGTGTTTCTTTTGCCTACTCCTTTGAACAGACAATTACAGTCTCTCTCATTGGCTGTGCATCGTATATAAAAGCTTCCAGTACCTCTCTACCGAGTTTTACCTCTCTAACTGTGTTCTGAAGATAGGTTCATTCCTCAGAATTACATGGTGGTCCGTTTGGAACAATAGCGACTACACTTAAGAGCCCTATACATGGTCGAAACCAAGCAACATATATACTTGCTACCTTTTGCATCAACAAAGATTGGGCCAGCTTTCTTGGATATTTTAGGCCATTGCCTGTAGATTTTATCCTCTAACTCCCATTTTGACAGCTGGTGATTTGAGAGTGGCATACATAGGCTT